TCTGAGATGAAGAGGTTGCGAGTGAAGATCGTTGAGTGCTGCCATTAGGTGATTTCGTCGATGGCGTATAGCTGTTCGAAGCAAGAAATTCACTGGAATATATTTTAGTTTAATGAGATCGATTAAAACTAATGGACACATGTGCTGCTGACTGTAGGCTCAAATCTCCTGCACATAGTCAAAAAACGAATGGAATGAAAAGAATCACAGAGATTCGTGTAGTTTGATCTATGATGAGACTGAAAGGTAATCCTCATAATATCATGCGCACCAAACATTATCATATAATTCTGGACCAAAATAATCCTTAATCATTTGGACAATTCGGAAACATCTCACATCAACTTTCTTCTACTTGCCGTCTTCTTCGATCATTAATTATTTTCATTACTTTTTAGGAAGTGTAAAAATCAATAGGATGCCAGCATCTCTATGAAATAAATTAAAATTCGACGTTGACTTCGAAGCATATCTCACCTGTTCGCATACGAATAAATGAAATGATTCAACAATCGAAATCAAACCTGCTGGTTGATTGCTTCCGTTGCGCTGGAATTCGTTCAGTTCTTGATTCAGACCTACTGATTTCAAATGTTGATTGTTTGGCGACTGATTCTTCATCTGCAGAACTAAATCCTTATTGAGTGATCAAATGATGAAGAATTCACGAAAAAATGACCGACCATTGATCTGCTGTACAGAAACCACACAACTTATAGTAGGTCTTACGAGAGAGGTAATTGGATTAGCTGATAATGAAAGGCTTATAAACACTTTAGCAGTGATAAACTTCGTCCTCGTATTCTCTACTTGCAAGCAAGCTGAGCAACTCTTAGAATACAGGAAACGATCCTGATTATGGTCAAGGTGTTCAAAAACTTATAGTCATTTTCATTAGAATACAACATGCTTATATAACTTATATAACTTGAATTTTAATAAATGATACATTATTTGAGTGCATTCACAAGGTGCATCTAGAGCAATATTATATCACTGCTTAAAAGTAAGCAGCAGCTGGATAAACTTACTCCAAAATCCCAAGAAATATCACCTCAATACCCTCAATATACTGAAATATTTATGAACCCCGAAAAAATAAACTATCCAAAGTGTTGATAGTCATTAAACTCACGCAAGAAATTGGAATGTGTCGTCGACTGGGTCGTGACACCTGTCAGCGAGTTCAGCAGTATGAAGAACACTTTGAATATTACCCGCATAACAGGTGAAATATTATATTTAGTTTAGGTAAGGCAACAAGTGAAGGGTTTCGAGTGAACCTTAACAATTTACGGTTTCAGAGATAACATGCACACATATTCGAACGGTTATTCAATATCTTTACGCTACCATCCATGCTCCTCGAGAACACCATTTCAAGCTTATTTGAAAACCACGCAATTCTCTCATTCACTGAAGACCAGAACAATACATTGAATCTTTTCTGAGTAGTCTACACAATAAGTCGTCGATTCTCCGTTCAGTTCAGCGAAAAGAAAGGAAATTTACATTCTTTGACTGGCAATAATGGTCTGAATGAAGCGGCTTTCTAGCATTCCAAAAAAACTTACTTTAGCTTCTGTCAAACCACAAAAAGACTATTTTCAATGTTTGGAAGCAGGTCAGTAATATGTTATAATTTTAAATTATGAAACACATTCACTCAATCATTTCGAATGCACGCAATGGCGCAGAATCACTAACACAACGTTTACATTATTCACAAAAAATACACTTAACTAGGCAACCGCTACCAGGAGAAGGCAAACGAAATAGAAGTGTATCGCAGTTCCAGATGATAAATCATTACTAAATTCAATGGCTTGAGTTGATTGAGCAGTTGACTTACATACCTCATGATTCATATGGTTATTAGTCAACGAATCAAAAAGGAGTCAATCCTCAAAAGTCCTCAAAAGGAATATCCTCAAATATCCTCAAAAGGAATACGGAAATTGTCTTACAAATTCACATTTTCACTCCTTGATCAATTTGAGTGATAAACGATGCTGATTTCAGCAGGTATCAATGACTGCAAAAGATTAGCGAGAGTGTAAACGTTAAGAATGTAAACTATCGATTTTGAAATGAATTCATTGAATCTCAAAAAATTTTAACTGATACTTCTTCTGATTCAATTCCATACTCGTTAAAGTTAATCTGTTCTATCTTTAAAAGGAAACTTTCATTGATAGATCCAGTCGATCAAAATGTTTATCATACCAAATTCGCTTCATAATCTCAACTTCATTAACCTTTACTAACTTACATCGTCTACTGCTAAGTGCAGCTTGCTATCTGCATGCTATTGCTCAGAATTCGGCATTTCACGATCTAGTTGGTCTGATCGGTCGAGTTTACTTACGATTAACTTAATCAAGCGATTGCATCGATCTAATCCATTGTATACGTATTTGCATACTCGTAAGAACACATTATCTAAATGTTTTATACAGAGCAATATGTATACATATTTACAAAGACTTCTTATAGACTATGAAAAATAGAGCGAATTATTACTCAAAAAAAACAACAAATACTTATGTACGCAGATATATTTATGTGAAACACAATTAACTTACCACATCTTTTGCAATTAAACAATTATATTTAAAGGCGATATTTTGAGTGAGTAGAAAATACAAAAGAGGATTTCAATCAGATTGCAGTCAAGACAATTAAGCGATCGTATGATCGAATGGAAGATATAATCCACAATTATCACTTCCAATGCATAAATGACAAACGACAAAATATTAAAAGTAAATTGGTATTTGAAGTCTCTACAGCGTCAAATTCAGTCAAAAAACTTTAGCAGTAAGATTCAGTTTATGGTTCATTCAAGTCATATTCAGAAGATGCTATTGATAAATTGTTTTTGCTTAATATTCGGTCAAGACCAGCCAAATAATAATGGTGATGACAGTCAAATTAAATTGAAGACACCCCAACAGCAAAACATTATTTGTTCTTATTATCGCAGTATAAATGGTATTGAGTACTGGTACACATCCTTACAAACTTTCGGTGTTACCAATAGATCGCTTGCGATTTCATGACGGCTATTATCTATGTAGTTGAGCTGATGTACACAAACTTAAACTATTCATTCAGTTTCCAGAGACTATGGGAGACCTCCACCCCATCCAGATGATAGTGACAGATGACCGACGGGCACTGTCCGAGCAGATCGTCCGTTGCGCATTTTGGTCCGTAATGCTTTCAGTCGAGAAGATGCAATGAAGCTATATGCGGAATTCATCGCCAAGATACATTTTACCGGGAAGCATTTTGGCACGCCACGAGCAATGATCTTCGTACACGAATGGATCACTCGTTCTGTGATTCCACTGAACGCATCGCAGAAAACACTGAAATATTTGGCTGTTTCATTCGATGCATCACAAAATATGATACCATTTCCACATCTATCACGCATTCTTTCATTCATATAGAGTGATGCAAGACGGTTGTAAGTTTGAGTTGGATCCCTGAGTGAAGCCAAAATCGCTCAATAGATCTTCTCAAATGTGCTATGCGATTTCATAGCCGTGAACTGTATCAAATGCATCAAATTTATCGCAATAAATGTAGTTGAGCAAATGTACACGATGTTTAATCAATGATGATACGATATTTGAGTGAAATATCCCAAAACAATGGAAAATAATAGCTAAAACTTGAAAATATTATCGCATGAAAGCAATTAACTAACGCGATGAAGTGGATTCCGTCTTAGACACATTTTGATCTTCATTAACTTTTGATCGTTCCTCAAACCAGCCATTTGCA